AGTAGAGATATCAGTTCCATGGACAGAATAAGGCCACCTGGTTCACCTGAAAATGCAAACCATGACCTTAGTCTCCTCAATACATTGCCTCCACCCATGGTTTCCCAGCAGAGCATTGCAACATCTTCGCACATCATGAAGATGCCCAGGATATGTGGCAACATCCTGGTTTCTTCATCTGAGAGTCTGCCGTCTGCCACATTGCTGACAAGCCTGCCTCACAGTGTACGGTAAAAGATCTGATGAGGCTCCCTGATGGTCTTTATTGAGGTCAGCAATATTCAATATTCAGCAATGTTACAAAATGAGTTTCAAAAATCTAAAAACATTATTAAAAATGAAGACTACATTGAAAAGAAACCATTTGTGATTTGTGGTAAAGGTACTGGAGTTATTCAGTTAAAGAGAGTTGTTGTTCTTCAATTTCTAGAACTGATTGTTTTCAAAAAGGTATTGTAAAATGCATAGTACAAGATCCTTAGAGCAGCATCTTAGTAGTAGAAAGCATAAGCCAGCCAAGTGCAGTGACTCACACCTGTAATTCCAGTGCTTTGGGAGGCTGAGGTAGGAGGATCACTCAAGGCCAGGATCTGAGACCAGCCTTGCCAACATAGCTTAGACCCTGTCTCTGCAAAGAAAAAGAATTTAGTAAAAAATTTAGCTGAGCATGATGGCATGCACATTTACTCCTAGCCTACTCAGTAGGCTGAGGTGGGAGGATCCCTTGAGCCCAGGAGTTGGAGGCTGCAGTGAACTGTGATTGTATCACTGCACTCCAGCCTGGGTGACAAAGCAAGACTCTGTCTCAAAAAAAAAAAAAAAAAAAAAATTATCACGCCTATAATCACGGAACTTTGGGAGGCTGAGATGGGCAGATCACTTGAGTCCAGGAGTTCGAGACCATCATGGGCAACATGGCAAGACCCCCATCTCTACAAAAAAATTAGCCGAGCATGGTAGTATCAGTTACTTGGGAGCTGAGGTGGGAAGATCACTTAAGTCCAGGAGGCGGAGGTTGCAGTAAGCCTAGATGGTGCCATCGCACTCCAGCCTGGGTGATAGAGTGAGATACTATCTCAAAAAAATTTTTTAATTAAATTTTTAAAATAAAATAAAAAGCGTCAGCCAACCTGGTTCTACATTTTCACATTTTCATTTACCCTTTCTCTCAAACTTCACTGTAGCATGGGCACTCCCAAAAGTTCTTAGAAGTGGCCTGCACTAAAAATTTGGTGCAACCAAACTGACTATCAGTACAGGGTGAGACCTACTTAATGAGTCCAGTAAGCATTGTAGCAGAGGCATATTCACAATAGAAACATACGCATTCTCTGTATTTTTCTAACAGCTTCTGAAGTGTTCATCAAGCCCGTGTCTGATTAAGCACTTTTAAATTCTGAGCAATGAAATGGGCCCTCTCATACCCTCTTGGCAGGAGTGCAAATTGATACAACTCTTTGGAGAGCCATTTGGCTGTATCTGTCAAAATTAAAAATGCATATAATCTTTGACCCAGAAATGCCACTTCTAAGAATTTATCCTGCAGAAACACCCCCCAAACCCACAAAACTGAACGTGGAAGGTGAGTTCTTTGCAGTTTAATTTATTATAGTGAAACACTGCAAGCAAACCAAGTTCCTGAACAAGGAATTAGTTGGGTACACGGTGGTCCATCCTTAAAATGAAATACTAGATAGATGTTAAATTGAATGAGGTAGAGCCATATGTATTCATCAGGAGAGATAGCCTTAGGCAAAAAAAGAAACTTACAGAAAAGTAGTGTTACCGTTTTTATAAAAATGTGTAAAGAAGGCAGCCATGAGCAATCTCTGGCCATTGGATTCAGTGCTTGGGCTCCCACATTGGAATGAAGACGTAATCTATATGTAAAATAACAGGAGTCTCAATTCAGCGCCTGAACTCACCCCCTGTTCTCTCTCTTCTCTTGTATCAAAGGATAACTAAAAGTAAGTTAAACGCAAATGTAAGACATCATTCCTAATTGCCACGATACGTAAATAACACTTTTGAAAAGTGACCCTCCCAGATTTAGAAAAAACATTTATCAAAGGAGAAGCTCTAGGCTGGGCGCACTGGCTCACACCTGTAATCTCAGCACTTTGGGAGGCTGAGGCGGGTGGATCACCTGAGGTCAGGAGTTTGAGACCAGCCTGGCCAACATGGTGAAACCCCGTCTCCACTAAAAACACAGAATTAGCCGGGCGTGGGCCTGTGCCTGTAATCCCAGCTACTCCAGAGGCTGAGGGACGAGAATCACTTAGAACCCGGGAGGCAGAGGTTGCAGTGAGCCGAGATCGGGCCATTGCACTCCAGCCGGGGAGACAGAGTGAGACTCTGTCAAAAAAAAAAAAAAAAAAAAAAAGGAGAAGCACTGAAGACTTTTTTTTTTTTTTAACTGCAATAATCACTTGGCTGAATGCATCTCTTATTTGGATTGTATATGTTGAACTTGTGTATTCACAGACCACTGTTGAGCCTCCCCCACATCACCGACCACAGAGACCATGGGGAATACCTGCCTTAAGTCCATGCACGTAGTAATGTTCTTCAAGAACCCAAAGGAGCCCATCGTCAGGCTACATCTAGCAGAAACCCCAAAATCCCATAGGAGACTGTTACTGAGTTTTAAATGCTTTAAATTCTGGGCTTTTTCAAATGTTGGAGGCCAGCTTGCTTTTTTTTTTTTTTTTTTTAAATAATGGCAGAGATGCCTGAAACAAAAGTCATCCCAGTAGGAATCAGTATTCTGTGGCTTGTTCCAAGAATCTTACTCTCTTTTAATTTTCCTGAGAATATTTATAATAGACTAAAGTAGATTGTGATTGTACTAGGTTTTGTTATAGTTCAGTGAATCTTCTCCCCTCACTCCACCTCCATGGGAGGAGTACACTTCTCTGCCCACTTAAGGTTGGGAAGGTTGGCCATCGATCTAGCTGTGGCCAGGGGAAAGTAAGCAATGTGAAGTCAGTAGCAGGTGTAAATGTCTTTGCATCAGCCTCTTGCACTTCTGCATGTTGCCATGAAAAGAAGTTATCCTAGGAAAGTTGCTAGTCTAGGATGAGGAAACCCTGAAGCTTATTTATTTATTTATTATTGAGACAGGGTCTCACTCTGTCACCAGGCTGGAGTGCAGTAGCATGATCACAGCTCACTGCAGCCTCGACTTTCTGGGCTCAAGTGATCCTCCCACCTTAGCCTCCCAAGTAACTAGGACCACAGGTGCACATGACCACACCTGGCTAATTTTTTGTATTTTTAGTAGAGACTGGGTTCCACCTTGTTGCACAGGCTGGTCTCGAACTCCTGGGCTTGTGATCTGCCTTCTCAGTCTCCCAAAGTGCTGGGATTACAGGTGTGAGTCACCTCCCCCAGACTCCCTGGAGCATATTTAAACCCAAACTATAGCCTGGAGTCAGCTCCAGCTGATCCCAGCCAAGCCCTGCACACGCACACGAGACTGGCAGTCCTGTGAGCTAGTTATAAGAGTTTGTTGGTGTAAGCTTTGAGGGATGTTTGTTTTTCAGTATTATTGAAGGAAAACTTGACTGATACAGATGAACAGCCTTGGACCCATCACTCAGCTTTACTAAATCTTGTCATTGATCTCATATTTGTTTGAGTTTTTTTTTTTCTTATGAAATTAACCATTACAGAAACATTTGAGGGTCCTCTAAGTACCCTTCACCCATCCCATCTCTTGGAAGTAGCCACTATCAAGCAGTTAGTATTTATAATACTCATGCCTATTTTAAATGTTTCCTATACATTTATATACTCATATACATTGTCTAGTATTGTTCTGTAGGTTGTAAAACTTTATATAAATGATACTAAGCTGTATGTGTCCTCTGCAATTTACTTTCCCCATAACACACACAAACACACTGTATTTCAGATTTACACATGTTGATACATTAGCTCTAGCCATTCACTTTGCCTATGGCGACATTGTCTGTATTCACTACAATGTACCTATTCTCTGTCAATGGATATTAAAGTTGTTAAATACAAACAGTGTTGCAAGGGACATTTTGCACAATCTTTGGGTACTGTGCTTTTCTTTAAGACCAATTCTCATTCTTTGTAGAATAAGTAGACAAGAAGTGCACGGCTGAAATTTCACATATGCAGTCTGTAAGGCCATTTTAGCAAGAGCAGAGGCACGAGCATCTCTTGCTGGAGCTGCCACCCAAAAGGAGTCCACAGGGCCTGTGGCCTTGGGCACCTCTGATTTCTATCTCTGGCCTTTGCTTGTGGGACCAGTGCCTTAAGGCTTGCTGGGAACATCTGGATGACCTTTCTACTGCTCCTTCCACATCTTACTCACCATATGAACTTTATCATACTTCATATTTTTGATCATTAAATGGTTTCAAGTGTCTGGTCAGGATTGAAATGTTGGCAAGAGAGTTAGAAACAGAGGAAGGAATGAAGACTCGGTTAATCGGCCTCTTTCTTCCTCACACAGCAATTTTTCTAACAGATGCAATTACATTTGAGAGCTGTAGAGAACAGAATCTTATGTTTTCTTTCTTTATTCATCATTTTCCAAATGGTATTCACTGTAAGAAGGAAATTGCCTTTGTAGTTCGGTTCTGCAGGCTCTGTGCTGGGGTGCTCCGAGCTTCAGTTTTAACACCAGCTGTTGCCCCTACCTTGTTTCTGGTGGGTGAGAACCAGCCAGAGAGGGAGGGTAAGAAATCAGGCAGAGTTCATTTAAATTCAATATATTTTTATTCTTTGTAAATACAATGAGTACAACCTTTTAACTTCACAAATCAGTTAATTCACTTTGTACAAGGAAAGTTTTACTCCTCCTATGATAGTCCAAGTGCTGAATGTTTTCCCTCAGTGCTAGTACCTAATAAATCAAAATGTGAAAAGTACAGCAGCTATTTAAAAATGTTTGTTTCTACATTTCCATAAGTATAGAGTCATACCAAAGGAGCAGCTTAAAGTGTAGGATGGTGTGTGTGTGTGTGTGTGTGTGTGTGTGTGTGTGTGTTCATTCAAGGCTTTACTAGAAACCAGTTTTCGGAAAGGCATTGAAGAGTCTCAGGCTGTTAGCAATGGATCAATCAAGAACCCTCTTAGCATTCATCTCCTTGAAGTTCCTTCTGCAATTACGTCCATACTCGTTTCCTGTCTGGTGTGACTTGCTGCACCACGAGTTTGGACCCCCACTGCCTTTGGTTTCAGCACTATGTTAACGGGACAGCAATCTACCTCACTCAATCACTCATCTCCACTTTATTTGGTTTTGCTGTTTTGATTCATCCTCCCTTGACTTATGTTCTTTTAGTAAAGCTCTTCTCTTTTTGAGATGTTATCCAACCTGAAGTCCTGGTGAGAATCTCGTTTTGTTCACCAATTCCTTTGACAAGGTTGCCTGGCCTATGGTATTAAAAAAGAAGAAGAAGAAAGAACAAAAGAAAGAGAAAGAAAAGAAAAAAGAAGATAGCGAAAAAGCAAATCACATAGCATAAGCTACTTTTCACTTATTAACTCAGTTCTGAAGGCCATTTAATAATGTATTACAATAGAGGGGAAACTTTTGATAACACTTTTAATTTAAAACCTACCATTATTTTTAAAATAAATGCTCCAACATAACGTAGTTCTGAAGGCCGCAGTACGATGTTATACACAGAGCTATATTTGGTTACCAAACTTTATATGCTAAAAAGGAAAAGAAAGCACTACTTATGTTTCAGCTTTTGATCGTTCAGCCTGATCTTCCAGGTAAGAGGCAGAATGGCATGGCCTGTGGCAACCCCCAGTTTGCCCCCTCCCAGGACATGGCAGCAGTGAGTTTTCAGCGCAGGCGGTCCTGTTGTACCCCTCTCCTTCCCAGCCTCCCCACCCTGGTCAGGGCGGCAGGTCATAGCTACTGGAATGTTTCGTGGCAATTGGCATTTTTTCCTGAAGGCTACACATTCCCCGGTGTATGCTTCCTGAAGGGTTTGTTAGTTGAGGCTTGTTCTCCACGGGTCGAAGTTCATCTGATACTGTCCCATCCTGAAAAGTGGGTACCTTGTGAGCTTAGATATCACTGGATTTGTACATATCTGAAAGCAGTCTTGTAATTGGCACATTGCCAATGGTTTTTTTGAAAAACACTTCTTCTATAGTTGATGGGCTAATAGAACGTAAAGCTGGCAAAAGCAACAGGAGTTTTCCAAAGCGACAGGGTTGAGTGGGATATCTGGAATATGAGAAGCCATGAAAACAAGGTCAGAGTCCATTACTCATGGAAACTAACGTCTTATACTTGAACATACATCATCTCCTGCATTCCTGATCTAGGTGTCCTGAATAACGCAGTCTCCCTGCGGCAAAGTTCTGGACAGGCACTGTTGTCCCTGTTTTGCAGGTAGACTGCTTGAGGCAGGGAGACCATAAATGATGCTGCCAAAATCACACAGACACTCTCTGTACATTAACAAAAGGATTGCATTTTGTTTGGGGAAAAAAAGAATTTTAAGAAACATAGTACTAATTTTAAGCCAAATAATAAATTTAAGATTTCCATTATAGAAAATGACCAGGACGTTGAGGATAAAGCTAGCAACAGAATACACATTTTCTAATTCTCAGGACTCCTTCACAAGGCTATTTCCCTCACATAAAATGGCTTCTTTTTCTAAGCAATTCTCCAAATTATTATTCAGGCATTATACTTAGTCTCTCTCAGGAATAATTCCATCCTTATTACACTGCAAATTAAAGACTAAGTTCTGTTGGGGCAGTGCCACCCAACTCTCATGTCAATGAAATTGGCATGTAATTAAAGATGTGAGAAATTGCTTAACAATTTCCTCTCTTGATGTCCAACATATATCTGTGCTCAGATGTGCAAGTTCAATCTTCTGCTGCCTTTAGATGCCTGCACCCACCTCCTCACTGCAGCCCTGATACTTCTTCAGCCAATAGTTAGAATTAGATATCAATATACATAAGGAAGGCTCCCTCCACTGAAATGAAACACCCAAAAAACTGACCTTCCGGGATACACATCTGTGACTAAGCTGGGTTCAACCCAGGCCACAAGGTGCTAGAAGCTAAGGGATATCAAAATTCTTTCGAAGGAGTCAGGTGGCTGTGTTTAACTACCGAATAACTCCACCCTGCAAATAAAGTTCAGGGGAGCAACTTTCATGCTTGTCTATTTAGCTTTGGGCACATAAGAGTCCTTCTCTTCCACAGAATACAAGGCTTATAGTTCATTCTGGGCCTCTCAGGACCTCAGCTGACTCTTTCACTGCCCAGCTTCATGACCACCTGGGGACAGGGGCCACCAGACCACATCTAGTAGTGTGGTGTGGAAATGGCGAAGCTTATCTACATTAAAAAAAAAAAAAAAAAAAAAAAAAAAAAACTTAAATCCTACCACTTGTTCTCCTTGTTGAATGTATTTCTAATGTTTCTTGGAAAGTAATCCCCAAATCCATGTCTCCCTTTCACCTTGGCCAGTTTTTTCTTCAACAGCTCTATTTCCCTTCCCAGGACCAGGCATAGTAGAGATAATTCTGCAGCAAGTTGGAGGCAGTGGCTGCCTGGACGACCTCTGCCATCTGCGCATCCACCCAACATGCTGAACGTTTCCCATGGTGATAAACCACTGCGAGAAATCATCACCTTCGGAAAGGATGAATTTGGGGGAATCCATAGACAACCAACTCCTGATTTTCTGCAAACAGATTACCCACTCATCTACTCTCCCACTTATTTTATTCTCTAGTTGGGAAAGGGTTGGTTAGTCAGTCAACAAAAATTAATTGTCTATTATATGTAGCATACGGTACCACCAGAAATAGCAATGTATGAGGTCATGTGTGGTGGGCTCATACCTGTAATCCCAGCACTTTGGGAGGCTGAGGCAAGAGCATCGCTTGAGCCCAGGAGTTCAAGATGAGCGTGGGCAACAAAGCAAGGCTCATCTCTACAAAAATTCGCTGGGCACCTGTAGTCCCAGATACTCAGAAGGCAGAGGTGGGAGAATTGCTTAAGCCTAGGAGGCAGAGGTTGCAGTGAGCCACGACTGCACCACTGCAACACAGCCTGGGCATTCAAAACAAAAATGTGTGTGTGTGTGTGTGTGTGTGTGTGTGTGTGTGTGTGTGTGTGAGAGAGAGAGAGAGAGAGAGAGAGACAGACAGACAGAGAGAGAGAGGGAGTCTGACTAATCAAAATTATCTTTTAGAATATCTATGCCCTTGTCTTCATCCATTAGCATCAATAATTGGATTTTCTTTCAGGTTTAAGTGTTTTAGGTCTATTACAGATTTGCACATTTGATCTTCAGTATAGCATATAGTTTGTGGGGAATGTCAATTCCTAGGCTCCTTCTTACATCCTGGATAATTAGAGAAATAGCTTAGAGAGCTGTAATATACAATTAGGCTCAGTTTCAGTTTGCATGTTAACTTTTCATTTCAATTTCAGATTTTATTTTTCTAGACAGGAAAGTGCTGGAGGCAAAAGTGTTCACTGATTTGAAGGGCTAAGAAATAAGGCAGAGTCATTTTTGTCACATGTATGACCCTAGATATAAATATTAAATTACAGCTGTAACTGATATCAGAATGCAATAATAATTCCATAAAATAAGAAATTCCATAATTCCATTATTTAATAAGAAATAAGATACTTATTTAATATTTACTATTCTAATATTTAATAGAAATAATACGAATTCCATGGCAAAGCAGATGTGTTTTTTCCACACATGATTTTCTTCTTTTGGGATGTTGGGGGGATGTAGTTTCCTTGCCATTTCTCTAAAATAGGCTGTTGTTAACCCATGGTTGAATTCTCTTGGGCCACCCTATCAGCAGCTCCCGGCACACCAGGCTCCCCTCCTCACTCACCTCCCTGGCACTTCCCACAGGACACCTACCAGCTCCTCCACCGCTCTCAAGACACAACTTCTCTCCTGCTGAAATCCTCCTCCTATTGAAGGACCAACTCTCATGTTCCTTCCTCCACCAATCAGACTTTCAGCCTTTCCAATTGTCCCTCACTCCCTCTGTCTAGGATTCATCTCTCACACTCTCCACATTGCTTTCCTCTCTTCTCTATTTGGATTGGAGTGACACTGCTGCCCACTGCTTGAGATGATAAGGGGCAGTGTCTTGCTCCTTCTGGTATCCCATAGTGCCCACCTGCAGCCCCGCATGTGGCCAATACTCGGCAAAGGCTTGACTGAATCAATAACTGGATACCATGTTCTTCTCATTTTTAAGTTCTTTTTTTTTTTTTTTTTTTGAGACGGAGTCTTGCTATGTCGCCCAGGCTGGAGTGCAGTGGCCGGATCTCAGCTCACTGCAAGCTCCGCCTCCCGGGTTCACGCCATTCTCCTGCCTCAGCCTCCCAGGTAGCTGGGACTACAGGCGCCCACCACCACGCCCGGCTAATTTTTTATATTTTTAGTAGAGACGGGATTTCACCATGTTAGCCAGGATGGTCTTGATCTCCTGACCTCGTGATCCGCCCACCTCGGCCTCCCAAAGTGCTGGGATTACAGGCATGAGCCACCACACCCGGCCTCATTTTTAAGTTCTTAATACCATAATGGTTCTAAATGTCAAAGGTCAGTTAGGACATACAAGTTAGTTTTTGGTTTTTTGTTTTTTTATTTTTTGTTTGTTTGTTTTTTAGACAGAGTCTCACTCACTCTGTTACCTGGGGCTGGAGTAGAGTGGCACAATCTCGGCTCACTGCAACCTCCACTTCCCAGCTTCAAGCGATTCTCCTGCCTCAGCCTCCCGAGTAGCTGGGACTACAGGTGCATGCCATGACACCCAGATAACTTTTATATTTTTAGTAGAGACCGGTTTCACCATGTTGGCCAGGCTGGTGTTGAACTCCTGACCTCAGGTGATCCGCCCTCCTTGAACTCTCAAAGTGCTTGGGATTACAGGCGTGAGCCACTCTGCCTGGCCTACAAGTTAGTGGAAGTACCCAGATTATGTACTACTCCATTTAATAATTTTGAACAAATATTAACTGCCTACTATATATATTCTGTAATTCCATATGCATTAAAAATTTCAAATCCTGGCATTTTAATTTGGAAAAACATATACGGGTGCACTATCAACATAGTTTCAGTGATATTCCATGGACAGGGAACAGTTTTATTCATTTAGTATTCAAAAGAGGGTTTATGATAGAAATAGGGAGACCTTAGCAGAAGTGGTATCACCCCAAATGGACAGAGTTGACTTGGGATTTCTCTGACCCATTAGTTGAGGGAGGCATTAACAGCCTCTACCCATTTGATGTATTTATTCCCACCACAGTGTCTATAGCTGATGTTGAGATTATGGAGATGGGCTTTCGCAGGTTCCTTTCAAATCAGCCTAGAGAATAGCAACTCTATTCCAACCTCAAATCTACCACAGTCCTAACTCAGGAAACTAGAAAGGTTCCATTTATCTTTAAAAGCCAGGTTTTTTGTTTTTTTTTTTCCTTAATGGCATAATACAATTTATACTTCTTTTTTTTTTTTTTAATTTTTGGTGGAGACAGAGTCATGCCATGTTGTGCCCAGGCTGGTCTCGAACTCCTGAGCTCAAGTGAACTGCCTGCCTTGGCCTCCCAAAGTGCTGGGATTACAGGTGTGAGCCGCCTCAGCCCCCAGTCTATACTTCTTGATGGGCTTGCCCAGTGCTGGGCCAGAAGGAGCTTTGTTGGAGCCCCAGTCTCTGAGAATTCCTACAAACAGTCAAGAACAGCCTCTGCATGTGGGCCCTGCATGGCCAGAAGTAACCTGGTAGATGTTATGACTCAAAACAACAGATACCAGTCACCAAGGCCAAACAACAGTTATGATAGGTGAAAAGATGACTTCTCTAGGCTGGGCATAGTAGCCCAGGCCTGTAATCCCAGCACTTTGGGAGACTTAGGTGGGAGGATCACTTGAGGCCAGGAGTTCAAGACCAGCCTGGGCAACATAGCAAGACCTTGTCTCTACAAAAACTTTAAAAATTAGCTAGTTGTGTCAGGCGTGGTGGCTCACACCTGTAATCCCAGCACTTTGGGAGGCCGAGGCAAGCAGATCACAGGGTCAGGAGTTCAAGACCTGCCTGGCCAACATGGTGAAACCCCACCTCTACTGAAAATACAAAAATTAGCCAGGTGTGGTGGCAGACACCTGTAATCCCAGCTACTTGGGAGGCTGAGGCAGGAGAATCGCTTGCAGGCAGAGGTTGCAGTGAGCAGAGATTGCACCACTGCACTCCAGCCTGGGTAAAAGAGTGAAACTCCATCTCAAAAATAAATAAATAAATAAATAAATAAATAAATAAATAAATAAATAAATAAGCTGGGTGTGGTGGCATGCACCTGTAGTCTCAGCTACTCAGTAGGCTGAGGTGGGAGGATTGTATAAGCCCATGAGTTCATGGCTGCAGTGAGCCATGCTCACATGCCACTGCACTTCAGCCTTCCAGCCTGGGCAACAGAGCAAGACCCTGTCTCAAAAAAAAACCTCTCTGGAAAGTTCTCTCATCCTTTCATTTGAGATTGGCATCTGAAGGAAGGCACCTGTGTTTTCTCAAGGATGATGTGGCCACTCTCTCACATACCAACCATGACACTCTGGGCTTCATTTTTTTTTTTTTCTTTTGAGATGGAGTCTCACTCTGTCACCCAGGCTGGAGTGCAGTGGCACAATATTGGCTCACTACAAGCTCCGCCTCCCAGGTTCACGACATTCTCCTGCCTCAGCCTCCCGAGTAGCCTGGCTAATTGTTTTGTATTTTTCAGTAGAGACGAGGTTTCACCATGTTAGCCAGGATGGTCTCGATCTCCTGACCTCGTGATCCACCTGTCTTAGCCTCCCAAAGTGCTGGGATTACAGGCGTGAGCCACCGTGCCTGGCCTGGGCTTCATTTTTGACCCCTCCATACCCATTCACACAAATGTTGTTCCATTATTTTGACGGATTAGTTTGTTCCACCAGGACAACTGTAATATGTCTGACAGTGCTTTCAGTTTGATCATCTAATTAGATTTGCTCCTCTCACCCACCCTGAGAGATAGGTAACGACATGGATTCTCCCTAAATTAACTGGCTGGCAACAAGATAATTAGTCACAATGTTTGAACTGGCTTATTACTGCCTGCTCAGACATTCACAATGGAGGCAATTTTCTTAAGTACATGTTCAAGGCAAACAAGGGTCACCTGGTATGGATGTAGCTGTTGAGCGTTAGCTGAGCCTCATCTTGAAGGGCCGCAATGGCAGCAGCATTCCGGAAGCTTCTCAGTTCAGAACCACTATGTGTAGGAACTAGAAATGAAGACCAGGAAACTGTGACAGACAGCATAGAAATTGCATCTGGGAGCCAGGCACGGTGGCTCATGCCTGTAATCCCAGCACTTTGGGAGGCCGAGGCAGGCGGATCACTTGAGGTCAGCAGTTTGAGACCAACCTGGCCAACATGGTGAAACCCTGTCTCTACTAAAAATACAAAAATTAGCTGGACATGGTGGCACGTGTCTGTAATCCCAGCTACTCGAGAGGCTGAGGCAGGAGAATTGCTTAAACCCAGGAGGCAGAGGTTCTAGTGAGCCGAGATGGTGCCATTGGACTCCAGCCTGGGTGACAAGAGCAAGACACCATCTCAAAAAAAAATTTAAAAAATTAAAAATAGACAGAAAAAGAAGAAATTGGGTCTGGGAATGCACCTCTGTGGAAGTGGATGCCCAGCAGAACATGCAGGTTCCCATAGCAATCAAAAATGGGGCCAGATTAAGATTATCAGCTCCCTTGAAAACCATCACCTCTTTTTGCAAAGGTCAGTTCAAACTTCGAGATGGCTGAATTAGTGAGGTGGCAAAACTGGGGAAGGAGAAGAAACAGGGGTCTGTGTCTGCTTACCGGCTTTGAAAGTGACGATGCATTTTAGACAGGCAAATTCAGTAGCATCTAACCGGAGTTGTCTAAATCGAGCCACCACCTCTTGTAAAGCCTGTATTTCAGATATGATCTTGTTCAGCTTCTGGGAATCTGTGTTGTCACCGTTCATGCCTAGAATAAAAATATGGGATAAATACTCTAATATGAAGGCATTTTCATGATTTAATATTGATTTTTGACAAAATCCTGCATATCAATATCTATTCAATTGTCACTCTAAGATATCTGATTCCATGTAAACTGGCTATATTGTATGAAAGTTAATATAAAATCTTCTCTTGGATGATAACAAACACAGTAATTTGCATTTAAATAACAATGCAAGCAGTCATGAATACAACAAAACAACATTATTTGCATTTAAATATAGATTTATAAATGACAGGTATACTCTATTGTTCAGCAGGAATTTGTTATTCTTTACATGTTGTTCTTTTTTCAGTAATGTATTTTTATGGTAATTTCTACAACAAAGTCATTAAATTGTGCAATTCTTACCAGATACAGCCAGTAGAGTGTTAGCATCAACCGGAATGGCCCATTGTGCTATTCCTAGAACAAACAGTTCTCTCCAAGCATCTTCCAAAAGCATCAGCTGTCATACAATAGATGTATAATATAATATAGTGTGTAATTTATAAATTTATAAACAATTTCACTATGTAAATTTCCATTATTTTAAAAAGTGTTTTAAATGCCTGTCTTGGTAATTTTTTCTGAATATTCTAGCTTTCCCTTATTTTCCCATATTTTCCTTTTGAAAAGGTGCCTATAGATATGCACATGGATTTGAGAGTCAGCCATTCCAATTCTCCAAAGTTTCCTTCTCTCAGAAAAGGATTTGCCCTTCTTGTCCTTGTATCCACCCATTCCTGACCACCTAGAAGCTCCTCTAGAGACCGAGGCTTTATGAAATGCCAGCAGCCCAGCAGGTGGATTCCCCTCACAGAGAATGCTGCTATTAGCAGGGTTGAGGATTCCTCAGACACTTGCAGAGCTGGGTCCCCATCTTCCTGGAGGGTTGAGGGGGCTGGGCTGGGAGAGAGACAGAGATCACTAATTCCCAAGAGGCATTGGGGGAAATCAGGGTGTAATTATGTTAATAGGGATTTGCTGAGTTTTCCTCGTCTCACTGCTTGATTTTTCTGAGACCCATAAATGGACAGCATCAAGGTGCTTGTCATTTTTATTCTAACAAAATGTGCTACTGAATATTTAAAATGAAAATCTGTCTCTTTTTCCAAATTAATATACCAGATTCCATTTCACTGCAGTTTGCTCTTTGTCGAAGGATTTCTACCAAAGGGCTAAGTGGCAGACAGTAAGTACATTTTGTTTGGGTGAGAGTATACAAATACTTGTTTTGGAAAAAAAAAAAAAAAAGCCAATCTATACACACACACACACACACAGCAAATGGTTAGAGTTAAGCAGTAAACCTGTTCAAAGATAGGACCTAACTACCTTAAAAAATCTCAAAACTAAAAACCAGCCAATTCTGAATGATTTATGTAAAAGGATTTCTTTTGGGAGCTAAGAGCTGAATCATGAAGGCTTGTAACCAAAATCACAATTAGACCAAAGGTTTTAATTTTTATATGTTTTATTTTTAGTTTTATTGCATTAAGTACAGGAAATAATTGTAAAATGCAAGGTAAACAATATCTAATTCTGGCCATATTTGAAAGGGCAGGCCATGAAAAAAAGAACATCTCATGCTAGAAGATGAAATGCTTTTAGCACATTGCCTGATCTTTCCGTGGGAAACATACTTCATATAAAGGGCCACTATTATGTTTTAATTAGGTATGAAATGAATTGAAGAAATAAATCCTTTGCTTTTAGAACTACATATTAGCCTTTTGGAAAATTTGTCATTAATTCCTGTGAATGCACTGGTAACAGCCAACGGTTGGGAACACTTTGTTTTCTTTCTTTCCTTTAAGGTTAGAAAAATGTTAGCATTTCTAATATTCCTAACAACAAAATTTCTGGTTCTCAGTACAATACAATGTTTCACTGCACACACTTTTTCTTCCTCTGAATGTCATTTACAGCCACAGAATTATGCAAAATGCCTATTTGTTTACAAAATGTCTAAAAGCACATGAAGAACATGAAGAATCAAGGAAGATCCTAGCCTGCAGGAGGTGTGCACTGTGCCTCTTGGTCTTACAAGCTGATCAATTAATGACCAAAACTGGGAGCATCACAATGGAGAACATAAAGCTGAGAATATAAATAATAACATCAGTTCCGAAAATCTACTACTCTTACCACCTTCTACTTCTCTCAATTCCAATGCTCTTAGTAAAACATTGTTTCATCGACAGTTTTAGAAAATCATTACAATTTTAAAATTGGTATTATATTTGCTCTTTCAATCAAACAAAAAGAGGTAATGTTCTTGTATGTGTGTTTTTCATAGACTGGACCCAGCTTTTCTGAAATAATGTAATTATGTTTCTTACTAAGGATCATATAGGTAGATATTTTGAGCCCATGGGAAGAAGCAAGTAAAAACAAGTAGTTTCCACATTGCTGTTAAGAATGGATGCCTGCCTTGGGTGGTTTACCCCGGGATGGAGTGAGTTTTATAAGACTGAGTGCTACTGCTTCTTTCCCAGCTCTCTTTTTCCCAAGGCTTCAGTGCTCTGCTGGTCATACCTGGTCCTGCAAAGACAGCGTGGAGAAGGCTGGCACACTCTTAGCCCACTTGATGCTCATGAAGAGAAGTCTGGCAGCTGATTCACACACTGACTCTGTGGCCACTTCATAGAGATACATTGGGGTCCCATTCACTTCATGGGGGTACTGGGTGGGGAAGAAAGAAAGACACCTAGAAGTGAGGAAACCACAGCTTTGCAAGAAGAGACAAACTTTTACTTTCTGATTAAAGCAAGGAAGGGCATAAAAAGGAATTTGGATGTTTTGCTTAAACATGCAGTTGCCATCCGTAGGCAAAAAAATCAAACATCTCTATCTATAGAGTCTGAAAAGTAATACTGGTTGGGGGAGGTCCATTTCCATTCTTTGGGAGCCTCTCCCTTCCGGAGGGTCCTCTGGCTTTTCTATCCCCTGCAGCAAATTTTCTTTGGGCTGAGCCAAGTGCCAAGCCTGGCTCCCAATTTAGACAAGAGCTGCTTGCATTTGTGTAAATAAAAATAGATGTGAAAAAGTATAAATTAATAGGCATCCCAAACACAAATATGCATATGAGTATTTTTAGAAAGGATTAGTATATTATGGAAATATTTCAATTAGACATCTTAATCATTCACAGAGCATTCCCATTCATAACTGACAACATATTCATAACACTACTTCCCCGAGCTTATTATACACATCAAGGGTAAGAAAGCAATATTAAATATTGTGCGTGTGCATGTGCCCAGGTGTCTGGCTTCCCTGCAGTGTGCGGCTGCAGCTGTCCCTCCTCTGGGGGACATCTTAGGCCCTCATCGACCTGGAGTGGGGGTCTTAGTAGGTATCAGCTGGAGGCCTGGAGGGTAGGCCTTAGGTGGCAGCCTTTCCAGGTGGTTCAGGCTGGGTCCTGCTCCTATGGAATCAACCCTGCTATAAATCCACCTGCCTCAGAAGTAGGTGAGGAAGCATGGGAAATGAACTCAGATTCCTCAGACTGTTCTAACAGTGTGATCTCCACATTTCTCTCTTGTGTTAGAAACTCATGGCTTTACCCAAGAGCATACAGGCCAAGATCTGGAATTGTGGGGCACTTCCTCCAGCTGTAGCCAACTCCTCTCCTCTAAAAATGAATGTTGGTTCTTCTGGCCTTTAGGAACACCTGAGGCTGCCCTCTGGGTTTAGACGAGGGCTCCACCTACCACCGATCATCAGTGGGTGTTTCCTAAAGGTGCAGGTTCCTGGACTCCACCCCAAACTTGCAGAAACGAAATTTCTGGGGGGATAAGATCGGGACTGCACACTTGTAGCCACTCGGAGGTTGACTCTACTGTGCACTCAAGTTTGAGCACCCCTGGCTGAACAAGGCAGAGCAGGGGGGCTGGAGCTCCATGCAGAGACCAGCCAAGCACCCTGGAGTTCTCTCCCCAGTATGCCTGAGCCGCATCACAGCTCAGAAGAACTGGGTGCGTCCCTCTCCTCCATTCTCTGGCACGAGTCTCTTTGGGCCCAGCAAGGCCGCTGACCTTGGGCGTGGGCTGAGCCAGGCTCACGAGGGTCTGCCGCTCAGGGGTGGTGGACACCGCGGCCAGCTCCAGGCCGTGCGGCTCCAGCTGCGTGACCGCAGTGAAGAAGGCCGGCGCAGGGAGCGCCGCGGAGGGAAAGTGCGCGGCCGCCCCGTTCTCCTCCTTGTGTCCACGGAAGTAGAGGGCCACTTGCTTGCGGATGGTGGACGTCCGAGGCCCCCGCTCGTGCTGCACGGCTGCAGAGGCAAACAGAAACGTATGCAGGCCATCAGAGACGTCGCGACACAGCTGCTGCGGCGCTCCCCCCAGCCCCGCCCCAATGTCAAGTCTGGGCAGGCAAAACCGCCCAAGAGGTGAAAAGAAGAAGAGAGAAGGAATCTGAGGGAGGAAGGGATTCTGAGATCGTCTAACCACTACTCTGAATAGATTCGGAAGCTGAGACTTAGAAGAGGGGCCCGTGCTCAAAGTGCCATGATAATCGCAGAGCCTCAAGCAAGAGTAAGTGTGTTCTCGGTCGGTCCAGGGCTCCTCCCGACCAGGGAAGGGGATTCGCAGGGAAACCAGAGACCCTCCGGGCCGGAGTAGACAGGTATACTCGCCCCCATCCAAAAGAGAGGGAGCGTCGTGCACGCCAGACACCTCGTCTCTGCAGAGACTTTTCCAACTCCGCCCAAGAACAACCCTCCCTACCCCCAGGCCCCGCCCCCAGCGAAATGGCTTTTGGCCTCTGAGGGCCGCAGGAGAAAAGGAACCGAGTCCCGGGATTGCTAGGGGATGGAAAGAGGGAGAACCCGTCTCCTAGTATGCTGGAGAAAGGCAGGGGAGATGTGACAATTACCACCAACAGTTTAAATAAACAAATTAATTCAGGGCAATCTTCCGCCCGCCGAGCTTGACAACTTGTCAATACACAAGTTCAACAGGTTGGACGCTCCCTCCGGCTTCCTGCGCCGCGGAGGAAGGGGCTCTCTCCTCCTGGAGCTGCCACCCGGCCCGAGCCGCCTCACAGCAAAACCCACTCGCACCCTGTTCCCAGGCCCCACGGTGTCCTCCAGCCCATTACCCTCGCCCCCTGCCTGAGCCTGGGGCGCCCTCGACAGGCTGCAGCGGGGGACGCAGCTCGGACCGTACTCCAGGCCCAGGAAGCACTCTGACGTCCTGGTTCTTGCTGCTCTGCGTTTAAGAGCCTTGGGAGAGCTGGGTGTCCGAGGCACCCACGGGCGTCACCCTGCCTCTCCAGCCCCCTTTCTCTCTTTTCTGTAGAACAGAGAGAAGGCCCTGGAAAAGCTCACATCGGCCCAATGGCCGTGCTGATCTTGAATTTGCAAATGGGCTGGAAATTGCGCGTTTTCGCGTCTCTGCCCTCCCTTTTCCAACACACCGCGATCTTCCAGTCCGTATGATCTCCTCTCCGTGAGACTATCCAGACTTTAAGATCCTGGGGGAGGCTAGCAGGCTTAAGGGTGGCCACGAAGGGCTGCGAAGAGGGATTAGGACCGGAGGTAGAAAATGCGCCGCGATCCCCTAGAGAGTGGGGTCCCCCTAAGGGCTGCCTTTGTGGAGATGACTGTGTGGCGCAAGTTCCTGATGTGGGCATGGGTCTTGCCCTGGGGAATTCTAGGGGTCGCCAGCGGCTCCTGCTGACAGACGGGAAGGATACGACTGAAAGCCCGAGGCCAATTCCCAGCATCTGGAAAGAAGTGCTCCGAAGTTGATTTACATGCATAGGAGTGCCGAGTATTTTCTGTACATATAATTTCCTTACTACTCAATCAACAGTGGAATAAAGGGATGCACTGATTACCGTCTTTGTTCATGTTGACTTCCAAACACTTCTTCAGCCGACACGCCCTGCACTGGTTTCTGTGCGTCTTGTCCACCGGGCAGCCTCCCTGGAACAGAGCGCAGGGAGTCAGCGGTCCCCCTGGCCTTTAGGCTGGAGACCGGGAGCCGGCACCCGGGCGGGGAAACGGCGTGGAGGCGCGACCTTGCCCGACCGCAGGCCCTGGAGCCCCGAGCCTGGGCCTGCAAAACGCGAGAGCCTTGGGCATGAGCAGGGCCAGATCAAGAAGGGGCTGGGACGTCCCAGGCTACTTCAAGAGGGCCAGTCCCGGACCCCAAGAAAGCGGACAAGGGGAAAACGTCCTTCTCCAAGCAGGTGAAGGATAGAGAGCCGGGTTAGCAGACCCCGCAGCCCTGCGGGGCCCTCGGTAGGGGAATTTCCGCCGGTCGCGGAGTGGTGGAACAGGGATGAGACTTCAGGACCGAAGACAGCGACTTGGCCCCAGAGAAGGAGGCCTCTGAGTTCCGTTAAGAGCTGGCTTTTGGGTCAGGATTCACGCCATACCGCCCTCCCGCCAACGATCCTTTCTGCTTTCAGTACTTGAGTCTACCCTTCTCTGCCACTTTCCGGGCAAGCCCGTTTATCTATCAGATAAATCTCTCCCATCTATTCTTCACTTTCCTGTTACCTCACTTCTGCTTTTGTATGAAGCCAACCTTATTATCAGCCAGTTGAGAGTTGCCTTAAAGACTAGCCTTGGCCCAGGTGCATAGAAACACGGCCCTTCCTGGAAGGTGAGGGGTTAGGAGGGCAAGGCCTAGAGAAGATGAGGGTGAAAAAGGAAGAGCTCAAGGCTTGAGCAAAATATAGAAATGCCCACCATGTAAACAGGACCAGGAAGGTAATGTGACGGACTGTCAGTCTAAATGATAATATGGACTAAGAACGTTAGCATGGTAACTGAAAAAATAAAGGTAGTCACTTCTTTAGAAATATTTATCTGAGATGCATGAGAAAATAGATGTTTTACCTAATGCAATTTTCTGAAAAAAACATTAGCCATTGAAAGAGGAAATCTACAGATAAAGTTTCCTTTGGAATTTATTCAGTGTTAGGTGTCATTACTGAGGGGACATGTGCATGGATACATAAAGAGTCATGTTCATGAGTTTTATACACAGAAAATGTTTAAGACATTGTGTGCTCTCCTATATTTATAGAAGTTGCTACTGTTACATTTGTAGCGAGGAAAGATAATAAATGTATTTTTATTTTGCTTCATAATCTCAAAAATTCATATACTCTGAAGTTGGAGTATGTTTTTTCCCCCGAAGCCCTTTAGGGGAAAATTACACATCAGAATGCAGTTTTATGAGTTCATGCTTCTCCAATTTAAAATATGATGATTTATTTAAAATAAAGGTAGGACAGATGTTCACATCCATTTCTAAATGTCCCCATTACTGTTAATCATACATTGGAATATAATTTAATCTTAGAATAAGAGAGAAAGGAAATAATTTTGGGATCCAAAGTGAATCATTTAGGGCATCTTTGCTGGCCAATGTAATAGTTCATGGTAAATAAGTTTTTTAAACTTATTATTAAATGTAATCATATATCTATCCTCAGATGGTATCTTTCCAGTATTCTTATAAACATGCAAATGCAAAATGGAAACCTTCATTAGTTCTTAAGTGGGTCTTCAAATCAGATCAAACGTATATAAATATCTAGTGCCAGAGGGAAGGATGAATGCCTCAGCTATGATCATTTACTCTCCTTGCAAGAAGAACACCAGGCCTGATGAGTCTATTATCAGTCCTTTACAAGCACTTGGACTGATATCAATATGCTTGAATTGATAGCCATCCCCTTTTAAAAGATCAAGCACAACATCAGAGATCTTGATTTTCCAATTCTGTTCACTGCATAAAAGCAAAAGACAATCTAAGTAGAAGTTCGTTCAAATCTGACAACCCCCAGTAATCGCACAATCCTGTGGAGTTATTGGGATACAGTCCTATGCATGTAAAATGTGATGTGTCCATATGGTGAAGCTAGAAACTGATACAGTATCCAATTAAACAGGTAACAGGGCTAGAGAGCTCAAAATTTCTCTCAATGTAAACATCTTCTGTTTTTGTGGTTAATCCAAAACTGTTAGAAAATGATATGAGCAGACATGACTTCAGAAAAAGACATCAGAACCATTCGCTAGCAGCAGGCAATGTATGCATGTGTATACATGTACCCTATATTTACTAATTAGTGAAAAGTGTTTTACTATTTTGTTACCAAAGGATGACTCCTGACTAATGCACCCTCAGGGATCTTTCCAGGAGTGAAATGGAGGCCTCTGTGCTGAGGGTCTGAGTGGCTGGTAAGGAGAAGGCAAAGTGTGGGACCAGAAGGTTGATCTCCTTAGTTAAAATCAGCCTATTACTGAGCTGGAAACTGAGTCAAGGGGCTCTGCTCACTCTTTCTAGAAGCTTTGGCTCATACTGAGCCCATGCCAGATTCCTCTGTCTCTTTGAGACAGTTTTGCCTACTCAAGACCAAAACAACCAACTGGGTCCATATTCTAAGCAGAGAAGGAGAACAGGGATATGGAAGCTTGAGGAGGATCCCAGTTGCACCTTCCTTTTGAATCTTCTCTTCTTCCTCACCCTGCCCTTTTCTGACAAGGCACAGCTAAGGTCACATGGGTGCTGAATTCCCACTGCCCACTTCCAGAGCAGCCCTGATTCTCTGGAGTCGGAAAGGCACAACTCCTCAGAAAGCACTGCCTCTCTTCCAAGTGGCCAGCACTCACTTGGTGGTCTCAGCTAAAGGTGGTGGTGACCTTGACTCAGATGTCTGTGTGCCACTTACTTCTGCATCCCAGGCAAGTGATAAGGGGACTGAGCTTGATGCTGCTAGGAGTGAGGGTGGGGTGGGCAGGCACAATAACAAAGCTCTTTCTCCTGCTGGCTACTTGTGGTTTAGATGCTACATTCTTTAGGTCCCTTGGACCAGCTTTAGAGCCACTGGGTGTGGGCCTTAACCAGTGTCAAAATCTGTCAGAATTAAAAAAAAAAAAAAAAAAAAAAAAAAAGTGTAGGGAGGCTCTAGGACTTCAGACTTCCTTCTATAAACTCATATCTTCCTTACCTCTTCCCGCCTTTCCCCAGCCAAAGGGCCTCCAAGAGTTGAGGCAAGAAGGAGGGGAGAGGAAGGGAGAGGTCAGGGCTGGGTCTCTCCTCAACAGCGTGGAAACTCAGAGGAGGCCTTGGCACAAACAAAAGAGTGAGGAGGCAGCAGAGGGGAGCCGAGCAGTGCAGCCCTGGCTAAGGTACCTGGTTTCCAGATTTGCAGACATACGTCCTATTCCTTCGGATGCTCCGTTTGAAAAAACCCGAGCAGCCGTCGCAGGCGTAGACCCCGTAGTGTTTCCCCGAGCTGCGGTCGCCACACACTTTGCAGGGGATATCTAAAATGCGGCCTGAAATCGCAGGAAAGACGGGGAAGGGGGGAAGGGGCGAGAGGGAAAGGAGGGCGGAGAAGAGGGAGAAAAGGGGAGAGGGAGAGAGAGATGCTAAGCAATCTGACCTCTGAAGGGATTAGCACCGAAGCTGCGGTAAAAGCAAATAATGAAGTGATTTTATAGCCAAACTTTTTTTCCTTGAGCAAGTGTCAGTTTCCTACAATGAGCATTATTCATGCACCGCTACATGTATTTGGGTCTCCTCTAATCGCCGAGACCCATTTTGGAATAAAAGATGACAGCAGGCCCGGGCGGCAGCGCGGCCCTCCACTGCCTTTCTGCTCCGCGGAAAGTTTGGCCGCCTCCCTCCTCCGCTTTTGCATTTAACAGAGAAAGTTGTTAGTGAGCGCGCGAGGAGACAAACTTGAAATGTAAAAGGGAAAAGAAGAAAAACAAACACGGCTGGAACCAGTGGTGGCAGCTGGAAGGCAATCGAGTTTTCTCTGAGCTCCGCCGGGCGGTGTTATTATTAGGATTATTATTGTAATGCTAATACTTGGATTATTAATGATAATAAGGGTAGTGGTAATTGGCCAACTTTCGCTTTACCTATTTAAAAAATGCTTGGTGAGTCGCTTTGGAGAAATTATTTCTTTTAGGAAAAAATTATTTTCTCCGCAAAGTGGTTCGGGGCTAGGCAAGGGAGAGGGGAGCGACGCAAGTTGTTGGTTCCCTGCCGGGTTAGCTTGGGACAGGCGTTCTTCTCCCTCCATTTCCTAAGCCCTTTCTCCCTAGACGACTGGCCTCCACACACTTGGTCCTGTATGGGTCTCTTCCTCCCGGTTTTTCCAGTGCTGTGTGAGCCTGATTTTTTTAAAATTAAGAATCTGACCGATTTTTCTAGGCTGAATCCCCCCACCCCCCATGGACCCCACCTCAAGAGCACTTTCCCTGGAATCCCCTCAAGCCTGGGGTGGCCACAGACCCTGGAGGAGTGTCAGGGAGAGGGTAATATTTGGCATCTTTAGAATATTTGGTAATATTTGGCCTCCCTTTAGAAAGGGAGGAATTCCTTTCCTCTAAGGTTCAAGAGTCCAACAAGTGCCTGAAGCGGTTTATAGGGACTTAGAAATGCTTCCTCCCGCAAAACAAAGGGAGTATTAAACTGTTAACTTAATTAACACTTTAATTTTAAAAATAACAATAGTTGATAACAATTGACTTATTAACACTTGCTTTTCTCTTCTTCTACCCATCCGAAGACCTCCAGTTTGGGCCCCAGCGGCCTCAGGCCTCCCTGAAATTCGACAGCTTCTGCGGAAAGCGCTTGGGTTGGGGACTACGATTAGATTGGGGTGGGGAGGGGCGGCAGTGAAACGTCTGGGCAAGGGGAGCAGGGGAGGTGAGGGCGTGGCGCGGGGAGGGCCTCGAGGCACCGGAGGTGTAAACTCGCTCCTGGAACCCGAGGCGTCCGGGCGAGCTTGCACCCTGGGTCCCAGCCTAGTCTCAGGTGGAGGGGGCGGGAGGAGAGAGCGCGCGGGGGACCGTGCTTGGGGGTGGGGGGTGTTCGGTAACGACCAGGCTCGGCCGGGTAATTACAACCCCGCGGCAGCACCTGCCTATAGAGCCACCAGTGACCCGTCAAAAAGAGTAGCATGGGAATTCGGACGGCGACAAAGGCGGGCAGGGGAGGCGCGCGGCGCGGCGGCCACCGGCTCGGCGCCCCTTCTCCCACAAGGCGGGAGGGGAGATTGTGCTGTGGGAGGGAGGGGCTGGAGAGAGCCAGGCGAGGGCACAGCAGGTCTTGTCCTCCACTCCTTTGGGCCTGTCACTGCGCCCAAGGGAGTTCCTGGTCGCTCAGGAACCGGGTCTGGAGCTCCGCTGCACGGGCACTCACTCTGGAAGCAGTAAACTTGGTTTCCATATTTTACAACCATCCTCTGCATAACACGCGCCCTCTGACCGCTCCAGGGTCCACGTTTGGGGCCCAGCAGTACTGTCACCCCAGCTGTCCTCTTCCCCGTGGCACCGTTGAAGATGCCAAGATGAGTGAGTGGGAGGAGCAGTGATGGGGTCTCTTTTTCCCCACTTCCCATCCGGACAGGAAGCCCAGGACAGCATCGCTGGAGAACCCGACAAGGGTGGAGGGAAGACCAGTGCAGGGTGGGGGCCCCTCCTCGGACTCCCCCGCCCGAGCTTCCGGACTGTTGCCCCCTAGGCCACCACCAGTGCAAGTCCTGCCTCTGCGCAGACCTCCGAGCCGCGGCTCCTGGGGTAGATTAGAGACAGGCAACCGGGCTGGGGCGGGGCCCAGGAGGGAGGGACGCGAAAATTCCGGGGCATAGCGGGTCTGTGCCTCAGACTCCGCCACCCAGCCACGTTAAGGTGACTTGGGGTCACGAGACAAGCTGGTTGACCCCGTTGCAAAGCTCCTCTCATTTAGCAAGCCGAGTGAGCTCCGACGTGAGGCGAGCCGGAGTTTCCTGAAGCTGGAAAACCGTTCTTAACTTCCCTCGCCAGGGGGTCCCCTCGGGGCTTTTTGTGTGTCATAATTGCCTAAAGATATATGGCAGCTTCGATTACTGTAATTACCATCAGAGGCTGTTGAAAGAAGTTAGTCTGGGCTGCAGGGGTGACTGGCCAGGGTCTCGTTACCACCCAGGCGGGGCTCCGGGTGACATCGCTCTGCTCTCCAGCCGCGAGAAGCCGGGCAAGGCGGGGGCTGCAGCTCTGGCTGCTCGACCCAGTCCTGACCCGGCCCGCTGCGCGCCGACCTCCTCGCCGCCCCGGGCCCGAGGGACGCAGGTCTCGGGTTGGCTGCCGCCACCGGTTTGGAAAGGGCCTAGATGCAGCGGCGCCACGGGCGGGGGCCTCTGTCCTGCGGGCCTGAGAAAGCTCAGCAGCCGCGTCCCGACCTGAGCCGGGGCTGGAGGCTTCCAAGGCCTCCCTCAGGCTCTTGGGAAGTTGGAACGGCCAAAGTTTCCGCAATGAGCCCACTGTGGTTTTCCCCCCAAAGTCTGGAGGGTTGGCCTGCCTCCTAGTCCACAGCAGGGGCGCAGCCGCAGGCGGGCAGAGCTCCCCGCTCACCCCTCCCTCGCCTCTGAGGCCTCACCTTTCAAGGGCCCCAGCGGCTCCGCACCCTGAAATGGACGAAAGAGCCCGGTGCTCCTTACTTCCAGGGGTGTAGGCGAGGGCCTGTCCCGGGGCGAGCGAGCTAGGAGGCCTGCCGAGACCCGCGGGCTTCAGTTTTTGCAATGGAGGCTCAGAATGCAACAGAAACGGCCTCCTGTACCTCCTGGGAAGGACACTCACGCCTGGGAATGCGGGCAACAAAAATCGAGGTCGCTTTGCCTCCTGGAAATTCCAACAGCGAGGGTCAGAGTAGGCCCGAGCCTAACGGGAAACTCAGTCCTGCGCCAGGGTCCGCTCTGCATTCAGGCCGCGGTTAGGGCTCCTTCTCTGCTCCCTCTGCCCCAGCTCGAAACATTTCTCCTTCTCTTTTTGTTCACGTTCATTTTACTCTAATTTTTAAAAGATCAGCACCCAAAGCAAAACCAACGGACAAAGTGAAAACACAACCTCCTTCTTGGAGGGGGGTAGGAGGGCGGGAATTGCATCCCACTTAAGTAAGACTTCATTACCAGTCCTCAGAAGTATCTCCGATTCTCCCAACTTTCAAAGACTCAGGACAATGAGGGCGAGTGAAAGGGGGAGGGGGCGGGAAGGAACGCATAGAGCGCCAAAAATGCTATCCGCGAAAACAACACCGGCAGCAGGGCAACTTCGGGATATGGGGACTGCGGCGGCAACGGTCGTCCCCAGCCTCAGACCCTGGAGCCCTCAGCCGTGGGCCACGGGATGGCGGGAACTGAAATGCCCCCGGGAGATCTGAGCACCGTGGTTGCGCCTGCTCAGCGCTGGCTCAGGCCTGCACATTCTTGGGTTCCGCAGGCACGGTGCAAGCAAATGCCCTCGCACACACACTTAGCCCGGCGCTCCTGAGTCTCGGGGTGGTGAGAGGTCAGCTGCGGCCTGGGGTTCGGAGAGCCGGCAACTAAGGAAGTTCGAGGAAGGAGAGAAGCGCACGGAGTGAGCAGGCCGAGCACTCCTGCCTCTGCTGGGCTCCGGCTCGAAAAGTCCTTGGGATTAGGGATTTGGTCCTCTCTTTGCTAGAGTGGTTCGCCATACTTTAAATTCCCCAGTTATGACCTACGCGGATTTAGGATTAAGGAAAATGTGACTTTTAAATTGTTTCTACTTCCCAGTTTGCAGGATTATTTGAAATAGCTAGAAACGGGGTGCAAAGCATTCCATTCAAAATCCGCTTTGCACAGAGTTGCTTTTGCGCGCTGGAGCTCGGAGTTTTGAGCGAGTGTGTTATTGTGCTATTGCCTGAAACTGCGGCCCAGTTCCCGCCCCCATGGCTCCCCCCACCCAGCACCTGGCGGCTAAATGTAGGCAACTCATCCGACTGGTGGGCTGCGCGGGTCGTAACCTTCTCACCGCACCAGACAGGGGGGATCAAGCAATCCAGAGGCAACGAAACAGCTCTCCCCTCACCACGAAATGCTCCAACTCACGGTCTACAGGGCTGGGCCGAACGCACACGCCCGTTGGAGTCCCGGGGCTCGGAGTCGCAGCGCTCCAGGCAGGACCTCCCCAGCCTCCCTGCTCGCCCGCCCCAGGCTGCGCGTCTAGGCCCCACGGCGGCCGGAGAGGTACCCACTTGTTGATCCGGCCGGCTTGCTCATGCTGGCTGTCCCGGGGCGGAGCGGTTGGTGGGCGCTGCCCGAGTCCCGGCCGGCAGCGCCCGCCTCGCCGCTCGGCGCCGCCGCTCTCCAGCCGCCCTCCAGCCTGCAAGGCTCCTGGGCAGGACAGGTGGGTGTCAGTCGCGCGCTGCGCTGCTCCCTGGGCGCTCAGAATTCGTTCCACAGTAGAAATTTAAGCATCCTTAAGTTTCTTCCCGGCTCTTGCAAAACCGCAGCTGCTGGGAATGCTGCTTGATATGGACACACACATGGACCGACAGATGAAGAGATGGACAGGAAGACTGAGGAAGAAGGGAGAACAGCAAGAGAGGGATGTTGAAGGACAGAGATGGAGACAGGAAAATGGCCTTCCTACGGAGCGAAATCCCTCTTTTTCCCCATTCCTGTCACTCAGTCTTCAATCTCTCCCTCTACATAGGTATGCAGAGTGTGGGCAATCTCTGCCGACCGCTGGTCTCCCAAGGAAAGAAGGAAAACACAACCGCAGTCTCAGAGGCAGACGGGCTCCGCGCTGCCGGAACCCGAGCGCAGAGTGGGGTAACTAGATTGCTGGGAAATCTTCCGAGGGAAGAGGCGGCCAGGTCCGGGTTTCCGGGGAGAGCCGCGCACGCAGCGGCGAAGGGTCCCCGAAGTTCATTACCCCGTGACTTTGTGCCTGTCGCTGCGGGCTGGGTCCCCTGTAATATCTCCAGAAGCGCTCTGACAGGCAGCCGCGGGGAGGGGAATAGGGCGTCCCTGGCCCACTTAGCTTTTCCCCCAACTCCTGGCGGGGTCTGACGTCAGCCATGTGCGGGGAGGGGATGGGAAGAGGGAGGGGGTTAAATGCTAATGATATTAATGAACCTCCAAGCGGCTCCCAAAGAAAATGCAGGCGCTCTCGGAGCTTACGAGTTAGAAAGTGTGAATACGGGAGTGTGGCTCTGTGCGTGCGTGATGGTGAGGACGGTGCGGCTCGTAATAAAAATGAATTCGTATATTTCACGGCAAGAAGGAAGGGGAGGGGTGACGGGGCTTTCTCAAAACGCTTTTCCCCCTCTCTCCAGAGTGCCAGATAGATTCGCGGAAGAAATTGGGTGGCTCTGTGCTGGCGTGTGATTGTGCGCGCCGGCCACGGCCATGTGAGTTGGTTCATTCTTGGTCCCGTGCCCCTTCTGTTGGGTAAAACTTGGATCTGGCCCGAGGTGAGTAATTTACTCATTTTGCACATATCTACGGAAAGTCAGGGCTGAGGATGGGGTCTTCCGGAGGTTGCGCGTTCCTTCGGCCTTCGCGAGGTGGGTTTGGTCTCCAGCTGAGGGGAGGGTACCGCCAGCTTCCCCAAGCGGAGCTGGCCCATCCGACGCTGAACGAATCTCTTGTCGGCTCCATTATCTGCACCGGGGCGGCAGGAGGGCAGAGCGTTCCCTCCCGCGGCTTGTCCTCTGCGGGCATCGCGGGTTCCGGCTCTCCGGGCGGAGGGATCATGAAGAGCGGGTCTCATCCCTTACCCTGGCCCCATTCCGTTTGCTTTCCCGCGGTTCCTGAGCTCTCTCGCGCCTTGCTCTGTGCGCAGTGCTGGGAGAGCGCATGCCGAGGGAGCGATGATCCCCGATCTCTAAGAGATTAATTCTATTTAAGCTCTCTCGGCAGCTTGAACTTGTCGAACAAGAGCTTCCCAGTCTCTGCTCAGGGCGTGGGCCCGGCCAGAGGTCAGAGGTTACACCTCCCGCCCTCCGCTCGACGTTAGCTGGGAGGGGAGCTGTGGCCCCCGCTCTGCAATTCCGCCAGCCCACCCCCGGTCCCTCTTTCTCCAGACTCAGTGTCATCCCCGGCTTTCAATCAGAGTTTGCCTGTGCGTGCAAGTGAATGCTGGAGTCCCCCGAGCCCTGGGAGGGCGCAGCAGGTCCTCCGCCCGGGCGTCCCAGGGGGAGAGGGCTGTGCGCTCCCGTGGGCTGCGATAGCACGTGATTGCAACTTTCTGCCCAGCCTTGGCTTGGCCTCGAGCTCGGGGTCGCTCACACCACACACACCAGAGCCTGTGTCCTCCCGAGTGGAGCGCCGCCACGAAGGCTGGGGTCCGCTGGAAAGAGCAAGATGGGGGACCTTTATCTCTCAAGTTATTCCCTCCTCCTCCGTTTTCCGAATTGGGACGAGATTGGGGAATTGTGGGACGAGGCCATAGGCGCGTAGGGTTTTATTAGGTGACAGGATGAAAAATCAGCGTTTTTTACAGCCAACTTGTACAGCTGCTTGTGGAGCTAGCCCGACCGGCGGCGTGGCACTTTCTCGAACTCGGCGCACAGAGAGGGGAGGAATTTCGGGCAGGATTTGAGAAACACAATAAGATACCAGGCTTCGTTTGGAATCCTCAGGTTCTGGTTCACGCCAGAAATCCACTTACTTCAGCCACCACCACCACCACCCCCATAACGCGGACGCGAAAGACGGTGCTTGGTTAAGGACAAAGAACTTCAAGGGTGGAACTAATTTATCTCAGGCGAAGATGAGGGCAGTTTGGGGGGTGGTGACTAGACCCAGGCCTGTCTCCAGGGGAAGCATTTAGGGGTCTGTTTCGAGAAGGAGAACTACGAATTGCTTTGCCTGTGCGGGGACTGGACGATGGCTTTCCTGGGCTCCAAACCACCTCTTCCCCTACTCTCGAACACTCCCGCCAGGCTGGCTCATTTGTAGGCACCAAAACTTCTGGAAAATACTCCCAAGGCTCATCAAATTATCTCAAAATCAAAATGGGTATCTTCCCTCTTTTTCCTGTCACCAGTCCTTAATCAAGCAGGGTGTCAAGGAGATGCCTAGGGAATACACATACATCCCATTCAGCCCTGGCAAAAGGCACAACACTGCGCGCACACACCCGCAGCATATGCATCCTGTGTTCTGTGCGCCCAGCTGTAATTATCGGCGCGCTTTGCATAAATCACAATACAGTTCTGAAATCATCGTGATGACTTTCTGGCATGATTGGTTCAGTGGTAACGGCGGCAACAAGCTCCAGGGTAGGCGGGAGGGGCTGAGGCCCCGTCGCCCACCAGGTCCCAAAGAAGCTTGGAGCCTTAGTGCCGGCTGCCTTCTACTCAGGCAAAGCTCCTGCAGGCCACGGGGGACCTCGAATTTAAGGCGTAGAAACTTGGGGCTACCATGGGTACAGCTCAGAGAAGAAAGCCTCTGCAGGACAAAGACTGTGGTTCTTCATCTTTCTATCCACAGGCCCCAGCATGCTGCCTGATTCATAGTAGGTGCTGCATAAATGTTGGGCAAATGAATAAGGGAAGCCACCTGCAGATGCCCTGAGGGGCCACGGGAGGCACAGCCAGGCTAAATGCTGGAAACCACAAGATAGGGATTCAGGGCTGTGCCAACAAGCTGTGTGACCTTAGGCAAGTGACTAGACCTCTCTGGGTTCCAGATTGTTATTTGTAAAAGGATTCTCACCCTGTTCAGTCTTAACTTTCAAAGATTTTTCCTGTGTTCCATTAAAGGAAATGATTGATAAGGGGCAAATGCCATCTGTCTTCAGAATTATCTTTTAACAGAGACAAGACCTTAAGTTACAAGGATAAGTTTATAGCTTTGGAGGGTGGTAGGGATAGCCACACCCTCAGAGGTTCTGAAACCCTTCTAAACAGGTTCAGACATAGCCCCTAGTTTCCTCTGTAGGCGCTTGTGAGTATGGAGCTCTCAACCAAAACCAAAGCCTAAAACGCAGGGAAGGTATCTTTTATTGAAGGATGTTTACATTTTGGTCCAAGAGATAGGAAAAAAGACCATGAGAAGCATGAGAAGACCATGGATCAAGAGGTATTTCTGCCCATCCATCAATCTACCCGCTCATCAAATACTGTACGCCAGACCCTGGGAATATAGGAGATTAATGACATGACTCCTTTCTCAATGTAGCGGGGAGCAGACACATAAAAGATGATAAATGTTTTAGATTGGGATGAAACACAGGACACTGGAAATATATGGCAAGGAGCCCTAAACCAGTGTGCAGTGGGATGGGCTGTCCAGAATTGCCCTGGAAAGCTGGCCTTGTGTTAGGAGAATCTACTGATTCTACAGTCCTCTCAGGACTGTATTGTATTATAGCTCATTCCTCTGCTAATGCCCTGTTAAAGAGAATCCTACTAACTAGGTTGTATGAGAGAGGCAGGGGTACAGAGCACCCCTCTAAGTTTCAGAATATCTGAGGTTGACTGCTAACTCCGCCATTCACTAGCTTCTCTAAAAATGGTGACTTTTTTTCCATTAACACCCCCTCCAAACACACACATTCTTCTAAATTAAAATACTAAAGGTGAAAGGACAAGTTTTCCCATCAGCAAGCAGAGCTGATGGAATTGGTGTTAAAGAGACCTCTTCCCCAACCAGGGACCAACCCCCTCACAGAGGCCATTCAGCCTCTAGAGAGTCACTCCTTTAAAATACCATTCCCCTTACCGACATGCAGAGTAAAGAGATGCTCAGACCCAGGAAATGGCTGGGAAAACCTACCAGCTGAGCTTGGCTCAGTTTTGATGTTTAGTATCCAAAAGACACTCTGACACAAGTTTTTGTTTTTGTGTTTGTTTATATGAAGGAGGAAGTTGATTTGCATTTGCTTCCACATCATAATTCAACCTATGGCTGTTGTTTGCCCAATGGATGACGAGAGAGGAGGTGGGTCATGGAGCAGTGTCTGGCACATAGTAGGTGCTTGCTAAGTGCCAGAATGAAAGAAACAGTGTTTGCAGGCTTGCTCTTGATTCTGCTGTGGATCTCTCTACAAGTTGTTTGATTCCTATCCAAATTTACCCCCCAAATAAACAAGAACAATCCAGAAAAGGGACCCTTGTTCTCTAGAATCCAGTGGATCCTGAGTTGCAGGGTTTTTTCTTGACACTTTTGAGCACTCTTTGGCCAAAAGTAGTCTGTTACTCCCCACAAGTAGGAAGATGAACACTTGCTAACAGCAACAAGAAGACAGTGCTCTGTGTGACCCCCCGCGCATACACACACACACACACACACACACATACACACACACACAACCTTAACAAATAACAAATC